CATGATTACAGCTTTGTAGTAGAGGCTAAAGTCTGGGATTGTGATGCCTCCCGCTTTGGTTTTCTTTTTCAACATTATTTTGGCTATTCGGAGTCTTTTGTGTGAGTGACCCTTTTAAAAGCTAAATCATGTTATGTTTTGAAAGGTATTTAATTTCCAAATATTTAGAGATTTTCCACATAAGTTTCTGTTACTAATTTCTAGTGCAGTTCTGTTTTGGCCAGAAGTTATGCTTTGTATAATTTAAATGTTTTTAAGCTTACCAAAACTCTTTTTATGGCTCAGCTAAATGGACTCCCTTGGTGAATGTTTTTGTGAATGCCGGAAAAGTACGGTTCTTGGTAAAGTGTTCTTTGTGTGTCAGTTAGTTAAGTTGCTTACCAATGTCGATTTGAGACTTCTGTATGCTTACTTTTTGTCTCGTATCACTTTGTGAGGAAGGAGTATTGAAATCCGTAATTGTGGATTTGCTGTTTCTCCTTTTAGTTCTATCAGGTTTATTTAGTTCGAGCTGAAGCTTTGTCGTCAGGTACATGCACATTTAAGATTGTTCAACCCTCCTGACAAATTGATCTTTTTCATCATTATGAAATGTTCCTCTTTATCACTGCTAAATTATTCTTCATCAAGAAATCTCCTTGGTGCGATATAGCCACTCAGCTTTCTTTGATTTGTAGGACTGTATCTTTTTCCATCTTTTTACTTTGCATCTTTTTTACTTTTAACCTTTGTCTTTATATTTAAGGTAGAGTTATTTTGTTTTTGGATTTTTTTTTACAGATGGCAAGCATATAGTGGGGTCTTTGTATGCCATCTGCGAATCTTTCCCTTTCATTTGGAGTGTTTTAGGTCAATTGCATTTAGCATAATTATCAACCTGGTTGTTTAAATCTGCCATCTTTCTGGTTTTCTGTTTGTTTCTTGTTTCTTTTCCACTCTTTTACTCTCTTCTTTTTGTTTAACTGAGCTTCTTTATTGGCTTCTTGGCTGTGCCTCTTTAATTTTTTAGTGGTTGCTATAGGGACCTATATACATATACATGTATGTACATATGTGTGCGCGCGCACGCACACACACACACACACATCCATGTATAAAACCACAATCGAGGGGCGCCTGGGTGGCTCAGTTGGTTGATCCAACTCTTGTCAGCTCAGGTCATGATCCCAGGGGTGTGGGACTGAGTCCCATGTCGGGCTCCACACTGAATGTGGAACCTGCTTAACATTCTCTTTGTCCCTCTGCTCCTTTCCCCTGCTGGCACACATCATCCCTCCCTCCCTCCCTCCCTCTCTCTCTCTCAGAACAGAAAACCCCACAATCTACCTCATGCACAACGTACGAACCTTCCAACCGTATACTTCCACTTTCCTCTCCCTATTCATTGTGCTATTGTTGGCATACGTTTTATTTTTACGTAGGCATAAATATTTTTGTTTTAAATTGTTTTCTTTTTAAGAGATGAAACCGAGGGGGAACGTCTCTTCTTTTACCAGCACGTGTATCTTTATCACTCCACATTTGGGTATTTTCCTTCTGTCTTTAGAACTTGAAATTTTCTTACAGTGCAGGTCTGCTGACAGTATATTCTGTCAGCTTCTACTTGTCTAAAAAAGTACTTTTAATTCGTGAAGGACATTTCCATCGGGTACAGAATTCTCGGTTGATAGTGTTTTATTACAATCCTGGACACATTTCACACTGTTGAGTGCTGGATTGTTTTATTCACGTAAAAAGTGTTGGTTTTCATCTGGGCATACAGTTACTCGGAATCAGGAAGATCCCTTGGGGGTCTTGCTTTTAAAGCGTGTTAGGACAGACCAAGGGCCACTTTGACCCACCACTGAGACGTACCTCCTAAGCCCTCCACTGAAGGACACATCAGACTTCATTCAGGTTGCCCTTTTGCCTTCCTGCCCCCACAGCCGCCCCCCTGGGATCTGGGGAGGGATAGATGAGGAGCGGAAGTGGGATTTAGCCCTCCTGGAGCCGACAGGACTCCCAGTATGCTGTATTTGTGAGGACCCCTGACTCCAGAACAGAGTATTGGCGGACACCCCACTCGAAGCAGAGTGTCACAGGTTGAGAAGTTAGGAAGCGAGAAAAAGCTGAGTCTTGGTCCTTGCGAGTTCATAGTCCCCTTAGGGATGACATGACGATTTCGACTAGTACCAGAGGAAGACCGGCGATGGTGACGTGTGGCAGGGCACCGCTGGGAGGGTCCTGAGAGTTCCAAGGAGGGTGAGTCCGGGGAGGGAATCGGAGCCGAACGCCAGGGTCAGAGAACTGAACAGCTGAGCGGATGGGGATCACCAGGAGCCCGGAGTGGACTTTGCTGAGGGACTGTCTACCTTGCCTCTTGGCTCATTCCCCCTTTCCCTAGGATGTTGATTTCTGGACTGGAATACCGGAGGCACTGGAGGCCGGGGGGCACTGCTGCAAGGAGCGGTGCCTGGTGGCAGGCCGGCATGAAGGTGGAGACTGAGTGTGTGAGGCCCGTCACCCACCCCTGGCCCCGGCTCAGAAGGGCCCCCTCGATTTAGTCAACGCTCTGCTCTTTGTTGTCCTGAACTTCTCAATACCTTTCCAGCAAGGACACCGCATTTTCATCTTGCGCTGGGCCCCGTGGGTGATGCACCTGGCTGACAGATTCCTTGCAGGTCTGTCCCCCACAAGTACGGGGAGGTGATCTCAACACTGAAAAGGGGTGGGGGCTTTGGCAAGAGCAGAGGCCCCGAGGGAGCGGTAAAGGCCAGAGACAGGAGTCCAGACGCGCTCCAGCGTGGGCGTAAGAGAAAGCACGGAGGAGGCAAGCAGTGGAGACCGCAGGCTGCGAGGAGAAGGTGAGCCTGGGAACTTCTGAGGCCGAGCGGTCTGTGGATGGGCTCTGGGCACCAGGGGCTCCCCCGAGCTTGTGGAGAGTGAGATGGAAGCAGGTCCTGGGAGGTGCCCCTGGGAGGGGCAGAGTGAGCGCGTGGGGGTCGCTCTGAGAGCGCCCCACTGAGGGATGGGCCGGTGGCCGCTGGCCCTGCTTCGCGTGGGGGCGCTGAGGCTCAGGGGCCTGGCCAAGGGCACACCACTGGCCCCATCCCAGAGCCCGCCCCTCAGGCTGCCCACCCAGATGCGAAGGGTCGAGAAGGGCCTTCGACATGACCTTCGACCTTCCAGTACCCGAGAGCTGGGCAAAGCAGTGTGAACACCTCGTCCTAGAAGGTTCCGCTTTAAACCCCACTGGCGCCTGTACGTGACACGCCTTTGCATCCCGTTACCCTTCTAACACCTGAAAAATTCCAAATTTGGTAACACAGTGGGCCCGGGGGGGGGGCCGGGGGGAGGGGGGGTGTGGACCTGCCCGTGAGACCAGGAGGCAGGTCATCACGCCTCGAGATCATTTAGATTCGGGGCTGAGACAGCTGGTCCCACGACGGTCCCCGAAGAATTCCAGCTGGCCGAGGCCTCCCTGGGCCGGCTAGCTACTCCCTGGGACCCACCCCCCGGGAGGAAATTGGGACCGACCGGGGACGCCCCCAAGATGCCCGCGGTCTGTGGGAAACGGGGCTTTCCGCGTGTGCGTGTGGAAAGCACAGCAACGACCGCCTGGTGGACCCCACGGTTCGGGTGGAAGTCGGCCACGTGGCCGGGCCGATTCGGGTCGTGACGCAAACCCCAGCCTGCGTCCTTCCTTCGGGCGTGGGCCAAACGTGAGGCGCCGCAGAGTGACTTGTGGCTGGTTAAGCAGCGGCTGCAAGCTGCCCGTCAGGGCAGGGCGCCCTCAGGACGGGGCAGGGGACCGTGGAAAGCTCCGGTCTCCCCGTCTGGATGTGGCTGACTCCACCTGTGATGGGCCGGCCCCGTGGCGCCCGTTTTGGGGCCTTGCGTTCTGGGGTCAGGGCGGGGGCGGGGAGAGGCTGCTTTAAAGCCGCTCAGCGGTCTCCGTCGGGGTTGGAGACAGGAGTGGTCTCCCTCTTCCGAGCCAGGCAGCTGTGTAGACGGAGGCAGCGCCCTCCGGGTGTTCGGCACCCAGCCACCACGTCCTGGGGGGCAGCAGCAGTGCAAGGCGAAGATCCGGCCGCGAGCTCTGCGCGCCCCGGGCCGGTCGGGCTGCCCTGTGCCTGCTGGGGTCCGGGGACGGCTGCGGCGTCCTGCTCCCCGAGAGGGCCCGCCGGCCTGGGCTTACCCGCGCCCCGCGTCCTCCTGCCCGAGTCACGAGAGAGAGGACACGCGGAGGGGGCCACGTGCCCTGGACACTTTGTGCCCGGTTGCTCCCCTCGCGCGCCAAGTTCACCGCCCTGCAGACGGTCTAGAGAGGAGGCCGCGGTGTCTGCGATCCGCGTGCCGTCAGCGTGACTTGCACCACGCGCTCAGGGACAAACTCCACCACGGTCTTTTCCTGGTCTAAGGTAATCCCTCGAGGCCCACGCGGCTGTCGCTGTCGGCAGGCATCCGGCCCCCTCCCTCCCTGAACTGCCCCGATATCTCAGGGCCTACAAAGGCCTGGGGAGGAGGGAGGCCATCCGATGGCGGCATCCGGGGGGGGCTGGCCAGAGTCTGCTCCTGTGCCCCCTGGTCAGGTCCCGGTGGGGTCTCCCCCTCCCCTCCCCCCTCCCCCCCCTCGTGGTGACCATGGTGACAAGGCGGGGGGGTGGGGGGTGGGAGGCTGGCTCTGGAGGGCCTTTGGCATCAGCCCCTTCGGGAGAGAAACGAGAAGGGCCTCTGCCCCCACCGTGGTTCCCCAGCCTCGGGGTGCACGGGCACCACGGCAGGCATCCCCTGGGATGCAGACTCCGGCCAAGCTGCCAAAGTCCTGTCCCTCAGGCCCAGGGGTGGGACCAGGGCGTCCGCTCCGACAGGGTCCAGGTGATTGTTTCCCAGAGGCCCCGCGTCACCGAGCAGGACCCACCGCCACGGGGCCCGTCCCGGACTCACCGCCCGCCGGGCACAGGGCTCGGGTGGGGCCCCCGGCTGTCTTCTAAGACCTCCTAACTTCGCCTCTTGGAAAGCTAGGACGCTGCGTCCCACAGCCTTCCCGGGGGCCTACTTTTGCTGGGACGAGAAGATGGCCAAAGGGGCCTCCCGACAGGCCCAGGAAGAGCGTCTTCCGTCCTCCGAAGACGACGCCGTGGCCCCTCTCGTGGGTGGGATGAGGGATGCGTCTTCCCTCCGGGCTCCAGCGGCCCCGGCCTGGGTCGGGCCCCCTTCTCTCCAAGCCTCCCTGGGTGGGCGTGGGGGACGCGGGCTCGGCCAAGGGCCGGTGCCACGTGCCCTCCTCCCGGCGGTGGCATTCCTGAAATAACTCAGCTGGAGGCGTCTACGGCCGGGCCTCTGGTTCTGCGCCTTCGGCCTTGGGTCTCCTCTGGCTGGTTTCCTTCCGGGGGGGGGGGGGGGGAGGGGCGGGGGCGGCGGGGTCAGGGCGGAGGAGAGGGCCGCCGGCAGGCAGCTGGTGGGGGGGCCGCGGTACCGTCCTGGCCGATGCGGGCCTTTGCGGGGCTGAGAGCGGCGGCACTCCTGCGGGAACCCCGCGTGCCCCGGTTGCCTCAGTTTTAAAAGAACCATGTAAGGCAAGTGAGGCTCACAGGGCATCTCAAGGGACACTGGGCCCCCGGCTCCGGCTCCATCGTGCGACCGGGCATCCCTAGCCACTGGCTTCTCGCTTCCTCCCAAAAGCCACTGAGATAAAGATCTGCCCTGAAGTCTCAGCTTTTGAGCCGCCGGTAAGGAGTGTGACGGTGTGGCCCTCAGGAGGGACAGGAGTGTCCACCGCCTGACCCCTCCTCGCCCAGGGCTGGCTCCGCCAGCGGAAACCGGGCCCAGGCATCGGGACCCCCTGGGGCCTCTGGGGCCCCCGGGGCCCCCGTGTGGGGCCTGACAGGCCGGCCCGTCCCAGGGGTGCCCGCCAAATAGGAGGCACAGAACCAGCGGTGATGCCGGTTGCATGAGGGGGGTCGGGCTGAGGAGGGACCCGGGATCAAGGTCCACCGGCCACCCGCGGCTTGGTGACAGTATCGCAGCACCTCCGGGAGGTGGGGTGGGGGGAGTCGCCACGGGGGGAGAGACCGCCTGACGCCTTCCACGCCCCCCCCCCCCCCCCCGCCCGCAGGCCGGAGGAACGGCCCCTGCCCCCCTCCTGCCCGGCGAGGGCTGCGGTCACCCCCGGCCCGGCCTCTGCCTGGGCGGCCGGGGAGCCTTTCCTGGGCCTGCCGTGCGGCCACGCCGCCACCGTCCCTGAGAGCCGGTGGTGACGGGCTTGCGGTCCAGAGACCCGCTTTCAGCCTTCTGGGCTTGACCACAGCGTGGGCGGCTCCTCTGTCCGCCTCTGAGAAACACGGGGCCGCGCCCACGGGGCTCAGCAGCCCTTCCTGCGGGTCCGGCCCATCCTCGCCCTGGGGGACGCCGCCGGGTCCCCTCGGGGTGCCGTCCCGTTCTGCACCCTCGGGGGTCCACGCGGGCAGGGCGGGGGGGGGGTAGGGCGGGCGCCTCCGGTCCGGTCCGGTCCGCTCTGTGGGACGGGCGGGCGGGCTGAGGACACGCGAGCAGGGTGGTCACGCAGCTGCGCCCCCGGCCGAACCCGTGAGAACCGGGGAGCAGAGCGGGGCGGTGTCCCCTCGCGCGTGGCCAGCGGGAGGCCTGAGGCGGCGGGCGCCATCCCTGGCGGGCCCCGAGGGCGGAGGGGAGGCCAGAAACAGGCGAGCGCGGGCCCAGTCGGCGCGCAGGAGAGCTAAGGAAGGGAGGTGCGGGGTGCGGGCCGCGGTGAGCGCTCGGGTGGGCGCGGGGACCACCAGCCTCCCTCGCGACACAGCCCGGCCGGTCCCACGGCCACCCTCCTGAGGCCCGCGGCCCCCGCGGAGGTGGCTCCCGTGTGCCCGGCACGCCGGGGGTGCCGCGTTCCCCACGCAGCCCTGGCTTCGCCCTGGTGGAGGAAGGTCGCTTCGTGGCGAGGAAGGTCGGGGGAGGCTCCTGGGGAAGGCAGCCTCCAGCGAGGGGCGCACCTCGCGGGGCGAGCAGGCCCAGCCTGGAGAGGCCGCCCGTCGCGGGCGGCCGTGGGCACCCCCCCCCCCCCCCCCCACCCCGGGCGGGGAGTTGAGCTAACGGGCCTCTCGCCCCCCAACCCCCGCCTGCGTTCGCCCCACAGCCAGGACCTGCGGGAGGCCGGGGGCTGGCCCCCCGACCCGCCTGCCGTCTCTCCTTCCCCAGCAAACCCAGGCGCCCGGGCTGCATTGCGGGGAGGCTCCCGGAGGCGGCTCAGGGCCCGGGACCTCGGCGGCGGCTACCGCTCACTGGTGTTTGGAAACGCGAGCGAGCTCCGGTCAAGCCCCGGACGACCACCGACCGCCTGTGCCCTGGAGCGCCCTCCACCAGGCGGGGACCAGGCGGGGCCAACTGGGAGACGTCCGCGCCGGCAGGCGGGGAGGCCTGGCGGGACCTCGGGCGGCCCCGAGAGGCCGGCGGGGAGGAGGGGCTTCCGGCACGCTAGGCCGGACGGGCCCCCGGGGTCGCCTCCACCGATGCGAACGGAAGGAACGGGAGGATCCAGGTGCCGGGCCCCGAGGGACACGGGTCTAGAAGCCACCGGGTCCTCAGCCCCTCCCGGCTCCCTCCCAAGTGGCAGGAAGGGCCCGCAGGTGCGTGGTGGCCCGGCCGGGAGGGACGCGGGCCCGGGCAGGGGGACGGGGGGGGGGGGGGGTGCCGGCCGCCGCGTGAGGCAGAGGGGGGCAGCTGGCAGCGAAGAAGGAAGCGGGGCCCTGCCCTCCCGGGCGGTCCTCACGCCCGGCAGGACCGCAGCCGGAACCCCAGAGTCCCCGTCCTCGCGCCTGTGAAAGAGGTGCGGGCGGCCCCACGGCACGGGGGTGGGGGGGGCGCGGGCCCCCTCATCCGCAGGGGTGAGCCCACACCAGGGTGCCGGGCGAGACAGCCGGCCCTCCCTGCCTCCCTCCCTCCGCCTGGGGCCTTGGGCACGTCGGCAGCTACCCCCCCCCCCCCCCACCGGCCCGGGCCGGGCCCCCCCCGGGGGGCGCACGGGCGCCCCGCCCCCAACCGAGCCCCGCAGCCGGCACCCCGCCCCTGGCTCCCCCCCCCCCCCAAGACGTGACCCGGGGCTGGCTTCGGAAGGGGGGGGGCTCCCAGGCCACGTGCGCTAAGCAGGAGTCAGAGAGGTGCGCGTTGCCTTTAATGGCTCCGTTACTGTGGTTTAGGGGGACACACCGCGAAACAGAACCGGGGAAGGGGTGGTCGCAGCTGTCCGGGTGCCGGCGACACGGCCTCGCGGCGCACGTCCCCCCTCGACTGGGGTTCGGCAGGCGGCCCCTTCCGCCCAGGCCGCGGGCGTGACAGCGGCTGGCTGCGAGGGGTGAGGCCCCGGGGCGGTGCGGGGTGGGGAGGGGGGCAGCCGCAGGCGTGCGGCCTGGTGGGGGGGCTCCACGGGTCCCCCACCAGGACACCGGGGGGCGGGGCTGCCTGCCACCGGGCACCGCGTCATGGGCCACGCATCGGGTCCGGGTCCAGGTGCCCCCGTGCCCTCGCGCAGGGCAGCCAGGGCGGCCCTCAGGCCTCCTCCTCCTCCTCACGGCCTTCCCTTGATTCCTCCTTCAGGTTCTCGGCCATGAGCTTCATTTGCTGTTGAGAGAACACAGGACACTGGGTGAGCCACGCAAGCCCGAGCGGTGGCCCCTGGGTGGCGCGGGTGGCGGTGGTGCCCCTGGGGCTCCGGCGAAGCGCACTCAGAACCCAGAGAAGCCGAGAAGTCGTGGCTTTCGTTCCGACGCGACCCGCGGCCTGGCTGGGAATGTGGTGCCTGGGAACCCAGCGCGGTGGGGATTCTACGGATCCAGAAATGAGGAGCAGCTGGAAACCCGGCCCCCCTCCCCTGCCGGATTCCCCAGAACAAGAGGGGCAGGGAGAGGACACGGCAGGGGGCCCGGAGCACTGACACGGGGGCAACTGCGAACTGGGTGACCCTCTGGGCCTTTGTTTCCGTATCTGCGCAATGGGAGTCGTGGTGCACGTGTTGCAGGGTGGCTGTGGGGGTCACCGTGCGTGAGATCCCTGGCCCCGAGCAGATGGGCCAAAACAGCGGATATGTTTAGCAGTCGTCTGTCCCTGCAGCCACAGGACCACGCCCGGCCATCCCGTGCCACCGGGGGCATCCTATGAAATCTCGCTGAGGGCCAGGCCGAGACGGAGGCGCAGCCCGCCAGGCTCAGAGGGAAGTGTCGGAAGGAGCCCGCGCCCGAGGACGAGGCGGCAGCGGTGGGGGAGGAGGTCCTGGGGCCCCACCCTCGCAGCCCCCTGTCCCGTGGGTGCTGGAAAACACGACTGTGGCTCTGCTTGTTTGCTGAAAAAATGAGTAACTCCTTTGGAATTTGGCCTAAAACACACACGCTGATTTTCGATAACCGTTACTTACTTACGGGAAACACAAAACTCTGCGCACAACGTCCGCCGCTGCCCCAGGAACCTGGCCGCCCCTGTGGGAGCCCCCCAGCCCCCCCCCCCCCCGGCCCCACGCGGGGCTGGCCAGGACACCACGTGCCCTCTGGCTTTCAGGGCGAGGAACCCCTTTCGTGGACTATCAAGAGCCTCCGTCTCCCGCTTCAACCCCATCTCCCCTTGTGAGGACCCTCAGATCTGCCGGGCCTCCGGAGACCCCACTTCATCCCAGAAGGTTCCCTTCTCTGAGCCCGGCCTGTCTTCCACGGGAGGCACTGCGACGGGAGCCTGCGGGCGGCCGCTCTCCCCGTGGGCCGGGAACTGCCGGGCCTTTGCTCGTCCGCAGCAGGCTCTGGGAGGGCTCGTGCTGGGGAAGGGGGCAGGCGGGTCACGGCGACCAGTCTGCGGGGGAGCGGGCTCTCCCTGCAGGGGACACGGCAGGCCGACCGGAGCAGGACGCGGGCGCACGAGCGGACCCTGGCCGGAGGACCCACAGTGGCGATGTCTGCACAACCTTCGGCCTGAGGGGCGATGGTGACAGCTTGACTTAGTTCGCCAACCGGGAGGAGCAGAACTGCCAGGCCACGTGAGGGTCGAGCCCACTTCGCCTGCTAACGGCTGAGGTAACTGTCCCCAAACAGCAAAACTGGCACCTTTCAGGCCGGATTCACGGCGGACTCTCCCAGCTGATGTCATTTAATACTTAAGAGACCTTCTTAAAGGTCTTTTGATGAGAGACAGAATATGAATCTATTTCCTGATTTGACAAGTAACCATAGAAAGTAAAGGCTAAATAGATTTAACTAAACTAGAACTACAAGGGGGACAGACTATTCCCTGGTTGGTCAGAGAGTCTTCTAGCCATGCTCCCCCAGCGTTCACGTGGGGAGGAAAATCAAAATGGGTTTTGATCCAGAGGAGGCTTTGAGGCTCCCTGCAGGGCGCCAGCTGCTCCCTCACTACTGCCTCCTGGAGCCCCTTGCCCGCACGGGGGACTGCAGGGGGTCTGCAGATCTCCCAGGAGGGGCACCCCGCTCTCGGGCAGCCGGGCCGAGGGTTCTGTGGGACGCGCCCTCTCCCCGGAACGACCCGGCCTTCAGTGACTCTTCTCTCAGGCCAAGGTGGGACCTCACGCAGGCCAGGGAGGGACTGGAGGGACTCGGAACCCACCTCCCTGCCTGAAGCACCCGCCCCCCCTTGCTCAGGGTGGCCGGCTCCCGAGCTCAGGGGGCATCCGGGAGGTCACAGTTTACCCGCACTGAGCTGCAAAGGTAGGAACGGCGGCCAGCGACCCCACCACCCTCTCAGGCCTCAGCCCAGGCAGCAGGAGCAGTTTGCCAGGAGCACCTATCTCTGTAAGGAGGACGGACCAGGCCCCTCGATCTGCTGGGCTGGGCCAAGCCCGCCTGCCGCCCTTCCCCTCTGTGGTGGGTCCCGTGGGGTCCGATCTGCCTCATGGAGCTTTGTGACCCCACCGGAGACGGGGCCCACAGTGGGCGGGAAGGCTTGTGCTCCCCAGACCTTTGCCAGCACAGGGCTGAGCATCCTGGCCACGAGGGGAGCTCAGGCTTGGCTCGTCTCCCTGTATCTTCCGTCCTCCCCGCTGGACACGCTGAGCCGGGGACAAGACCAGAACTCCAAACCCATGGCTAAAGCCCAAAGAAACACTCAAGCAGCTTAGAAGAAACAAGTTGTGGCAGCCGGCTTGCCAGAGATGAAGAGTTAAACTGGTTTTGAGGTCAGTGAGCGACACCCAAATCTTCCCTTGCAAACAGGCAGGCCTCTTCTGTTCCTCCCGAAAGAGTCAGAAGCTACGAGGCCTTGTGACGACTTCTCTCAGGTAAGGAAGGGTCCAGATCCCATCTGCTGTTATGAACTTGTAACAGAACCCCCACCCCACCCTCCTGGTAAAGAGGAGCCAGGGGGTTGAGCCCCCTCCCCGCCCAGGGGAGACCATGAGTGTTGGCAGAATTAACGCTAAGAAGCACAGATGTTGTAATCCGAAAGAACCTTCATGATCATTCAGTCCTGTGGCCGCTTAAGACCCTGGAGACTCTCTTAAATGCAGATTCATAGGTCCCTCCCTGAGATGCTAACTCACTGGTCTATAGGGGGGCCCAGGTCTCTGAAGTTTCTCCTGAGACGTCCCCAGCCTTGGGAGTCTCTGATGTGTTGACTGCCATCTTGCGCGGGTAAGCAAGCTGGAGTGGAGGCGGGTGGGTCCCTTCTGGGCCACGCTGTGGGCCCAGGCAGAGTCGCAGGGCAGGGCCCAACCGGCTGTTCCCTCTGGGCACCAGGCTGCCTCCTGCAGCCCAGCCCTCTGGCTTCTTTTGCCTGGGGCGGGGGTAGGGGTAGGGGGGCAACATTATTCCTTTTTAAAAAAAAAAAAAACCTGGCTTCTTTAGGGATTCCTAAATTAAAACCTTATTGAAAATATAAGCAGGATAATAGTGCCGACTTCCTCCCCACCAGAAGCATCAGAACGAAGAGAATGAAATCTTCCCTAATTCGTGACTCCTTAAAACACTCATGTTCCAAACAACTCTTTAAAAAGTACAGGCTGGCTTCTTGCGTCGTTATTAGTGATGATCATAAGGGGAGCACAGTCGCTGAGTGTGCGGTCCCAGTGCGCAGCTCCGCGCAAGAAAGGACGCATAAGCGGGCCCGCTGCGCCCTGAGGAGACGTAGGCAGGTGCCTTCTGAGACCTGGGGGGGCCCTCGCCCGCCCAGCCTGTAGTACAGACCGAACCCGCGATCAGCTTCGGGATCCCTCCGTTCACAGCGCTCAGGAAGTCACAACCGACGGATCCCATTACCGCCTGGGTTGCGATATGCTCGCAACGACTCCATTACCCCTCCCGCTCGGGAGCAACCGCCGCGCACGGAAAAAGCCGGATCTCAGCTACCGGCTGCAGGGCGGAGAGAGCCGCTGCCTTCCTGCCTTCCCGTTCACCGGAGGCTTCGCTGGCCTGGGGCTGGCTCAGTTCAGTTCAGGCACAGCACCTGCTCCCCCCAGTCCTGCCGGCCTCGGGGGTGCAGGCCTGGCGACGGGGCATGAGGATCACCAGTCCCCTGGCCACCCCCAGTCTGGTGGAGCGGGCGGGCCCCCCCCCCCCCCCCCCCGGGGATTCTAGCACTGACAGGAAGCCTCCACCTCCAGCGGGAAGGACGGCCTTCTGGAAGCCTCCTTCCCGCACAGCCGCGCCCCCGCACCCCTGGCGAGCACAACCCAGGTCTTCTCTTGTCTCCCACCACCACGCTGAGGCCAGGCAGCTTGTTTGGGGTCATGTGGCCAGAGTCAGGGCAAAATTAAGCAATTTCGGTGGTTCAGGTGAAAAAGAAAGCGAAGGATGGGTCATGCCACAAAGACCGTTTTTTTCTTTATATATTTTTTGGTCATCTCGACGCCCAACGTGGGCCTCGAACTCACAACCCCGAGATCAAGAGTCACACGCTCTTCTGACTCAGCCAGCCGGGTGCCCCAAGACTGTTTTCATTTGTTCTATCTAGAGGAAAGCTTCCCTCAAAGCAGCACTGTTCTGGACACATTCTAATATGACGATTAAAGGCTCCAGATCTGCCCTCAGGCTCCGACGAGCCCCGCAGCAGTGGGTACGGGGCAGGAGGGCCCAGGGGCAGTGGCCCCCCCAAGGCCGTCCTGGGGGCCCTGCGTACAGCACCTCTCCCCCTGGAGGGTCTGGTTCATAACACGTACAAAATGCGAGGTCTGTCGAGCATCAGACAGGCCGGCGCTCTGAGTGCCGCGTCCCCACCCCGGCCAGCTTTACTCCTTCACCCCTTCTCGGGGGCCGCGATCACCTTGCTGCTCCGACCAAACATTGAGCCCTTATGGCGGATGCCTCTGTGCCCCTCCCCGGTCTTCTGTCTGCCGTGGGGCCCCGCCGACCCCACCTGCCAGGCACACCCACCGCTCCCAGCACCGGCCTCCCAGACTCGCCGATGCCGTCCAAAAGCAGCCCAAGCCGGGCTCTCAAACAGGGAACCAGAACATGCTACCACAGGGCCTTCTCATAGGTTCTGGACTGAACCGCAGGTCACTCGGCCCAGAGGGGCTGCCTGTCGCCGTCGCCCTCCACTGTAATTCCTGCACTCCGCTCGCACCGTCTGCTTTTGTCCACGCTTATGTGCAGGGTTTTCCTGCTTCAATGTTCTATCCACCTAGTGCGTGCTCCGGAGAGGATACGACACTGCCCTCTGCCCCCAGGGGCCCACGACACAGTGCGGGAGCTGCAGCCAGCTCTCCACAAATACCTGTGGCAGAGGGACCACGGCCTGGAGCCCCAAGCAGCAGCCAGCGCGATGAGGGCTCAGCCCGTAACTCAGCATGACCACCATGAGCCGGCAAGTAAACTGCAGTACACGCGGGTGTGAGACACATTCACGTTCTTGAAGCGAGCATCACTATCTGGACCACAGATGTGTCGGTCACACGTATGGGATCACAGAAAAGACACGAGCGTGTGGGCTTTACGCCTGAAATTCCAGGATTTTGGAGGTCTAGTTATCTGCCCTGGTCGCAGTACGGGTCTGGGCCCCGTAGGATTGGGCCTCAGCGCGGACAGGAATCTTGGTTCCCCCAGAGCCAGCTGTGGTTCTGGCTCTGGCTCGGGTGGCCCGCGATGACAGCCGGGGAAGTGGCTGGAGGAGGAAACTCAAGGGCCGCCAGGAAGGTTGCCGAATCACCAGCTTGACCCCAGCTGGAAACTAAGATTCCTCCAAGATCAAAACCCAGCTCCAAAGAAGCTCCGAGACCTGGTGGCCAGGCCCAGCTCCACCATCGGGTGAGGCGCTGGGGGCCACAAGTCCGTTAACTGCCGAGCTGACCCTGGGGAGGGTAGAGTCCGTTTCACTTAAAAACACTAAAAAAAAAAATCTACTTCTTAAATAACCGTGTAGGCCCTGCTTTCTCTGCATAGTTGGGTTTCAGAGCTGAATTTCCAAACGCAGAAGTTAAAGGCTCCTGGAAGGAGAACCCCACAGATATCCTGAGAGTGTAAATGACTTTCTGTGCAGAGCGAGGGGCCTACAGAAGCCAGAGGCTTTGCTTCCCTGCCATCCCCAGGTATGCACTTACTCTCACGCTTCCCTCTTCTGGAAGAGGGGGCCAAGTGTGTTCGATCCGCCGCGGCCATCTCTGAAGCCTGGGCTGCTAAGGTGATGTATCTGTCGATGGGATGAAGTTCTACGAGTGGCTAAAAGGTGCTGAATACAAAGCAAAACTGATGAGAGAGTGGCCCACCTTGCTGGGTTTGGGAAGGGTTACTGGGTGCAGAAAGGCCTCGTCAGGGCTGCTCATGGCCTCTGTCCTCCCACATTCCATCGGTGGCTTCTGGTGTCGTCTCTGCGTTACCGGCTTCTAAGTGCAATCCTTTGCATCCATGCAAAACGTGGGTGCCATCACTAAGCGATTGATGCCGCAGACCTTCGCCAGCACCCGGGCGTTCTGCCTGCGATGGGCACGCTCCAGCTCCCTAGGTTCCCACGGGCTGCGGGGCACGGGCAGGTGCGTCCACACCAGCCCTGTGCTTCACGCGTGTTCTCTGTAGCAGCTCCACGGAAGTCTCGGCTACTTGCCTCTCCACCTGCCCGTTTCCTGCATTTCTAATTCTGCTTCTACATCAAAACCTCATTCCCCCTCCTGCTTTATTGATACAACTTTCAATGTCTGTTACATTCTATTATTTTTGTGCAACTCAGTGACCAACAGTCACATCACAACACATCCCAGACGCTGTTCTCAACTCCGTATTAACTCATTTGCTCCCCATGACCACCCTACGAGAAACATACCGTCATCATCCTTTCAAAGGTGGAACGGAGGCACAGGGAGGCTGAGAAGCCTGCTGAGGTCACACAGCTCACGGGAGGCCTGCGCCCAGCATGCCGACACTGCTCTGGTTTTGTGCTATTTAACGCCACCTAGCTTCCCGCTGCGGCCACCGGTGCTCCGAGACGCACATTCAGCTGGATCACACTTCCATCTCAAGAGGGTTTGCTGCGACTTTTCTGATCCTTGGCGAGGCCTAAATTTTGTGCCATCCCACCTGGCTCAGAGTTTCTGCTTCTGCTAAACCTCTAAACCAAGGGAGTCCGGCCCTGGAACCCACCGCGTCCACCTCCATCCTGACTTGTGAGCATGATTTTACGCATGACAGTAAGAAGTTGCTTACGACTTCAGGAAGGAAGTTTGAGAGTTAATTTTTTTTTTAAGAAGCAGAAATCCTTGGCATTCTTCTTCTTCGTTCAAAAGAAAGGCCTCTGAAGGGCACAAGAACCAGAAAATCTGGGAAATGCTTTGGAACGTTAATTGGCAAAATCACAAGTGCCCAAAGGCTCGTGGTGAGCCGGCCACTAAGGAGAGCCCCTCCAACGAACAACACGGAAAGAGTCAGGACCCAGGTCTGGTACCAAAGTGCAGCTCACTAAACACAGAAAGGGGAGTACAGATATAGTCCTGAATACAGTTATTCAGGAACAACCAAGGTTCAAATAAGTGATGTCTTCTTCGTCACGGGAGGAGAGAAAACCGGTAACAGGTGTTGCTTCAAAGGCAGCCGAACTGAATGGATGCATTTTGGAAACACGCAGATCCCAGCATGGAGAGTAAGAGCGTCGGGTCCTGGAGTGCCCGGGGACATCCACGAAGGGGGATGGCGCAGCATCCTGCCACGGGGATCAGGTCAGAATGCAGACGGATGACGTGGAACAGAAGTGCCATCATAGACGAAAAGAGCCAGAGTCCCCGAGATCAAAAGCAAGCTACGAGTAATCGTAAGGAAATAAGATAAATATACGGGTGAAACAATCAGTACTTCTGAAACGGCCATGCCCTGTGAGCATCATGACCACATAAGAAGGAGGGTGACAACAGCGAGGGTGAGGAGGACACAGAACGGGTGTCCTTGGGAAGTCACATGAGTCAGATGAAGGGGCCGCCAATTCTGCATGAGAAAGGGGGAGAAAGCATTTTGTGTTTTGGCAAATAAGCACGTAAAAAGAGTCTGGTGATTGGTTTGCCCCGAATCAGAGGACAAATGACTAAGTTTCTTTTAAAAAACTGAGTTACTTTCCCAATGGCCTCTTTCGCTGAAATGACTAGATCTCTAGGTGCGATGTTACGTTGCAGAGTAAGATGCAGAAGGGAACCTTCCATCCGCTACGTCTGCTGCAATATGGTACCGGGCTGTTTATCAGAAGACATGGAGGTGGACAATCTAACTGCCCTTCATCAGCCCATGATACTGACACACCGGTGGTGTTACTCTTCAAGACACTGACCCAGCTCTTCAGATGGCCCAGATGAGGAGGCCCTTCCTGGACGAGCCTTTCACAGCATCACCTCCTCAGGAAGCGGCCCCCTCTTGATCTGACTGCAGGGAGGAGGTGCTGGGGGCCTTCAGGACGTGACTCCCTTTTCTGTCTGGAAGCCCTGGGAGCCAGCGAGGGACGCAGCGTCCTTCTCCCACCACAGAAGCTTACACGCAGGTCACTAGGGTCCCTTAGGAGATGAGACCCGGAGGGCTTGCAACCAGCCAGGGCCCAGGGTGATCCGGTCAACTCTCCTCTTTATCCACAGGTCCTAGGTCGCTGGGTAGGGACATCCCAGGGCTCAGGGTTCGGGCTGCGAGTGGAGCACTGGACAGGCCAGAGGGCAGTCACAGAGGGATGAAGGGCAGAAAGCACCAGTGGCTGCTCCTTCAGTAAAAGCCATGGCTCGGTGGCAGTTAGAGACCCAGCAGCTGAAACGGCAACAATTTGGTTGGGTCGAGGTGCCGCGCAAAGGCTTAATTAAGAGCCCAGAGAATAGAAATGAACACCACTGACTAACCACACAGATCAAAGGTCTCTAAGAGGACTCCGAGTGTGGGGTGAGCAGGTGATGTGGCGGTCGCTGGCGGGAACCCAGGGCCCAGCCTCCCACAGGGGTCCTGGGTCAAGGAGTAGGAGGGGCAGGATTTCACTGCGGCATGAGCAGAAAGCCAGACAGTTTAGAAAATGAGGGGCTGAGGTAAACATTCCACGAATTAAATGCGGGCGACAGTCTACGGCCCACATCAGGGTTTCAACCAGAGACGTGTTTTTTTAAAGCTGAAAATAAACCTTTTTCTTAAGTATTAAGGGGGAATAACCTTTAATCTGAGAAAGCCACGCCGTCACTACGAGGACAGAGGCAGCGGGATGAGTGGGGGTGGCGGCACAGGGTGAGCTGTGTCTCTGTCCCGAGAGGCGCCCACACCCCTTTCTGTGCGCCCGCCGTGGGGTCTGGGGGTGCGCAGCCAGGGAAGGGCTCCGGCCCGCTGCACACCGGTCCCGGCCTTCAGACGCGCCTCGCCCACCACCGAAGACTAGAAAGATGCTTGTGAAACTCCGGCCAGGTGCACGCCACGGAGAAGGCCCAAGTGCCCCCCACCATCTTCAGGATCTCCCCAGGACCATGAGGTTGTCGTCCCCCATCTAAACACCATATGGCTCTTTGATAAACACAGACCTCTCTATCCTCTGTCAATCTGGTATTTCGCGATATTACGACTAAAACCACATAAAACCAAACCAACAGTTAGAACACTGACTGCGATGTTTACAGCTCTACATCGTCTCCACTGCCTGAGAGATAGGTGTGTCCTCTTCACCCGGGGGCAGGGTCCCATCCCCGGCAGGCGAGCACGGCTGCCCCGGGTGCCCGTGCTGTGAACCAGGACAGCCACCATCGGTGTCCCTTCTGAAGAACCCGGGCAAAGCTGCGACCCGGCACGATCTACCTGACCTTCCTTGATCTTCTTCTCTAGGAAAAGCACTGTAAGTGCAAGACGGGCTCTAGCCTTCACTCGCTCGACGTCCCTTTCCCTCCGAGCAGCTGCTGCCTACTCGCGCCCGTCTACAAGCCTCGTTAAGTAGAAAAACTACTGCTTTTCTCCTACATCTTTTGTTTCGCTTTCCTTCCCGTCACCTACATCCCCTCGTGGGTGAGTGGCAGCGACCGTAACCAACGGTGACGGCCCAGTACAGGGGGACAGGAACGTCACAGGCTCTTGGGCACGTTTAGGCTGTCGGTGTTTCCTGAAATCTGGGACTGGAGTGGCAACAGGCCACTGACACCCCTCCATGGCACCGCCGTCCAAGGGACCATCTTCCCATTAACCTTCCTGCCGGCGGACGGGTCCAGGTCAGACTTTGTAACAGGTGGAGTTAGAATAGCAAGCCGGATGGGGTTTTGAAAACTCATGTCTATTTTTTATTTTCACTGGTTAAAAATATTAGATAGGCATGAAACTCATCACTTTTGTGAGTAAGAAAGGACTTCTTTGCAAACACGTGTCTTTGAGAGCAAAGAAACCCAAGACCCTCGTGTGATCGGAACACAGGGCGTTCACGGCCGACACCCCTCACGCGGTCTAATCAGGCCACATCGCGTTTCTCCCAAGTGTCCGGGGAGATACGGCCCGGTGCGTGTTGGGGTTACGTGAACCGAGGTGGGGTTTCCCAAACTGCAGCGATTACGGCGTCTTGCTGAAATGAACTATGGAACCAGTCCTGGATTAGCCACTCAGTGCATCCCGCCCTCCGGGCCTTGGCCTTCAAGAGCGGTGCTCCTGGGATGCCACGTTCAGAGGAGTACTATCAGGTGAGGCTCTGAGAGGCGGCAGGTGCACGAGCACGGGCTTATCCCTGTTCCGACCATGTTCCAAAGGCTCTTTGGGGTTCCCTCCAAAATAACAGAAATATACAATAGCTACTTTATTATTCTATATGTAATGCCACGTAACAGAAGTACAATTGTTCTAAGGACTGATTGTTAGGACCTGAAGGCACAAAGGAACTTAGAAGACAGTCTTGGCTCTTTGAGTGAGGTCAGCATTACCAAATTCAGGTAATTTGGCAAAAAAACCAAAAACCAAAACAAAACAAAACAAAAAAAAAAACAAAGAAAAGAATTGTTTGCCAATTCAGAAGGAGGAAAAGCTAGGACAAAAATGTTGCAGTTACAGGCACGTACCACATGCAGAAGACCACACAAGCGGAGGGAGAAGGAGCTTCAAGAAGCTCCCAACACTACCGCAGGAAAGAAGCTAGTACCTCGGACTTGACTCCAACTCCGTGTGGTTCTACTCGCTGCCTCTGGGTCTCAAAACGTGGCCGTATTTCACGCTGCGAGAGCAACAATGGCTTCCTTCTGTTTCCATCACACTTTTCAGAATCTGGAAAGTTCCAGGGAAATGGGGGTCTAGCCTGGGTGACCGGTGCTGTCCTTGGTGTGGCCTTCAGACGAGCTCACGGTCCCAGTGTGGGATAAGCTGTCGGCCACACAATCCTGCTTGAGCCACAAGGCCTAGCTTTCTACCCAAGTCGCGTACCCAGAGTGTCAGAACTCTGCCTCCTCGCTTTGCTGTTTAGGAACACGAGCCGATCCACCTGATAGGTGGTGAGTAAAACGTGCCTTCAGATATTTAGTTCCTCCTCCACCATTGCTGCTGTTTCCCTGCGCGAAGCCAAGAACAGCAGACCGCGTGAGAAAGAAGGTGTCTGCTGACAGGGGACCCCTGGTAAAAGTAACGAAACACAGAGGACTTTCGCCTCTCGCCCCTAACGACCTGGTCATTTTGTTAAGAGGACGCAGGGCAAACGTTTGCAGAGCACGCGGCCAGGTTTTGGTGAAGTGATTCTGCGTCACCCAGCAAAGTCTGCAGCTGAGTCACAGCTGATTCACGTGCGTCTCGGGGGGGGGGGGGGGGGAAGCAAATCAGCGTCTCTGCAAGTTGTCTGGGACGAGCCAAAGAGACCAGCCTGACCAGGTCTATA